AAGATGGAAACATTCTTGTTGAAACATCTGATGATGCAGCTCAGAACGGCAGATACAGCATTAAATATGTAAAAAGAGACACTCTGTCATATACTCTGTATGTGAGCATCACACAGCTGAAACAGTCTGACTCAGGACGGTACAGGTGCTCTTTGGAGAGAACTTTGCATCCACATGGAAACTCTGATTTTGAGCTGATTGTCACAGAAGGTGAGTTTCTGCTAACAGTCGTGTTTGTCTTTGAAGGTGTGACAGAAGCTTCACGTCTCAAAAGCAGCTACTTTTCCTTCAAATCACCTACAGATGTTATATTTATCTGAAACATCAAGTTTCATCAGTTCTGCTGTCAAACAGCCCATAACCACGTCAGTCACATGCAGATATATAAACTGCTTCAAGTGGTCTTATTATGACTCTGATGGTTTCATTGTTCACAGCTTCAACCACTTCAACACCAAACGGGACTCTGAGACCTTTTTCAGCTTCAGTGTTTCTCTCATCAGCCTCCACACCACCAACAGCACAGAGTTTAAGCTCAACTTCAGGAAGCTCCACACCTTCATCAGCCTCCACACCACCAACAGCACAGAGTTTAAGCTCAACTTCAGGAAGCTCCACACCTTCATCAGCCTCCTCTGAAACCAAACATGCAGGTACAATATACTGGGTGGCTGTCACTCAGGCTGATCCCAAATTCCAGTGTGCTCATCAGTGTCACTGTTGGATAGAAAGCACAAACGTGTTTGTCTAAAAAGATGAATAAGGCAGGTCATATGAGTGCTCGAGTAGAAAAGGGCTTTGGGCTCATAATGTGTTTTTATCAGAGAACTACAAAAGAATGACACATTAAGAGCTGTGGAAGAAGCGCTCTGATCTTTAAGTGACTTAAATGAGAAGCAGGTGCTCAATGCAGAAAAATTTAGTGAAAAAGTAAACAGTTTCTATGCTTTTGAGTAACTACTTCATTAAATAATTTAATGCAGAAGGAAACTGAAGTCAATAGTTTAAAAAAAAAATTGTTCCATCATGCTTGATAAACAGTTTGTCAGGTAATGTTTGAGGAACTGTTTTCAATCTAAAAATACACGTTACTCTGTATGTGCACAACTTTACTGCTAGATGAACAGACCTGGAGGCCACATGTTTACACTGTGAGTAAAAGAAATCTTCTCTGTTAAACTCCTGCAGATGTGCTGATTTATGTGGGTCTGATTCTGCTCGTTATGATCGTCGTCTTATCAGCAGCTCTGGTGATTTGCTGCATGAAGAGGAGGACCACTAAACCCAGAGGTGAGGCTACAGGAAACAAACACAGTGTTTTCATCACATTTCATCACAGTAAAAATTATTTTCTCACTTTTTCATGCATGGATTAAATATTCTGTCAATCACCGCAAATGTCAACATGCAGCATGTATAATATGCTCCTTTGTTCAGTGTATTGTCATCATAAACACCTTTAAAGCAGATTATTTACCAAAGTGTAATTGTCATTTAGATTTATACAGGGAGAACAAATAGAAAAGATTTTTTCTCTTCCACATTTTTCCACCTTTTTTTGTATAAAATCAGCGTAACTCTGATCCAGTCACCACGATGAGAGTGTGTCTGCGTCATGTTAACACCAGATAATTTGAGACTGACAGAGCTGCTGTGAAAACAGACCGTTGGACTGAAAGATGTTACTGATCTGATGGTGACGATCACCAACACAGTCTCACTTGGATATGTTCAAAAATAATCCTTCAAAATAACAGTTTTATCAAATAACCATAAAACAAACAGGGAAACATGGCACCATGGTTGATCAGTCTCAGCTCAGAATGTCCCAGTTTGCATGAATTAAGTCAGGTGTGACGTTTCTGTCACGCAGTTTTCACCTTTGAAGTTCAGTCTGTTTGTAAAAAGAGCACCGGATGTTCATGTATGACTCACAACAGAATCTGACTGATATGATTTTGATTCTTTATCAGTCATGTGTCTTATCTAACTGTAGTTCATATGTAGTTCCTCATATTGTTCCTGAGTTTAGTTCCTCAGGTTCTTCTTCCTGTTATGTGTCTTAAAGACAGACGTTTATTTTCTGACCTGCATGTTTTTCAGGACCTCCTGTGGAAACAGAGTATGCTGACACGCAGGTGAGTTTTAGGACCTGTGACACACATCAGCTTCGTTATTGTTCGCTTTGTATCTGTCAGCCGGTTTGTTCTCCTGATGAAGACCATTGGGTTCTATAAAAGATATTGGAAAGTGTGACATACCGTGCAGGTCACTTCCTGTAGAAGTGTCTTCAGTTTATGCCACCGCCAACGACCCCCAGGCGGATGGAGTTGAAATTATAGACCTCACACCCGCGTTCTCTTTTGACATTGGGGCAGAGGCTGGTAGGAGGAGTTGGCTGTATGGTCGGGATCTGGGATGCAGGGCTTCCCTGCTGCTGCAGGGGCAGTCTGCTTGTCTCCACCCCAGGGAAAAGGGGTAATATCTCCTGGGTCTAGGGGCGGATTGCCCCTCTGGGGGCGAGGGTACCTGGACCTGGTGTGTAGAGTATGCTTGGGGGGAGTGTGAGTGTGTGTACGGTGTCCTTTTCTGTTTGTCTCCACGTTGGGCGAGCGCTGAGTATTTGTATATGTGTGCATGAGGATGGGAATGCATGCTTGTGTCTGTGTGTCAGGTTGGGTATTAGACTCCATCTCTCTGGGAAGCTCTCACCACACTCCCTGTCAGTGGCAGATGCCCTCAGCCGTCGGTGGTTGGTGTGTCTCAGTGTTGGGGGCTGGGCGCTCAGGTATGTACTGGCTCACTCCCGGGCCTCTGAATGTCTGGGGTTTGGATCTCCTGCATGCATGCTCATGCCCTGGGGAACGGGGCTACGGCTCCCCACACCTTCTAGCAGACTGTTACATGGAGTAACCTTTTGAATACAAGCACGCTCACGCACACAGGTGTGCACACAGGTGTGCACACAGGTGTGCACACAGGTGCTCACAGACACAAAATATATCTTTCTGCTACCTCAAAGCACATCGTGCACTGTTGGTCACATGCTGCGCAGTAACATTCAATATTTAGTATTTACTGTTGGTTAACACTTATCTAGGTTATTGCTGTGGTGTTATGTTTATTGTGTTGCTCTCTTTTTGCTTGTTTTCTTTTTTTTCTCTTTCAACAGCTGAGCGAGTGGATTTTTTAGTGTCTTCTAGTGTCTTCTCTCACTGTCCCTCTTTCTTTCTTTCTTTCTTTCTTTCTCCCTTACCTATCCCCCAGTCATGTCTGTCCGGTCTGTAATAACTTGAAATAAAATAAATAAATAATAACAACAAAGACCATAATGACCATAATGATCCACTGGTAAAAATAAATCCATTGGACATCTTTCTTGGCCTCCAGACAATAATTCTGATTACTTTAGCAATCAGAATTATTGTCTGAATTATTAAAGTATCAAATGGGACAGGCAAAACATATACATGTATGTATACACACACACACAAACACACACATATATCTATAGATATATATAAACATCTTTCTGGTGGAAAACAGGTCTATCAAAAGTTGTTTTGTTACAAAAGTATTTTGAAAGATGATTTCAGAGGCTTTATGATAATTAAAGGGTTTTTTTGGTTTTCATATATTTAAGATCTTTTTTTAATTATAACATATTTTTGGAGTCTAATGTTTGATCTCACCTCTTTATCTCTTTAAGGCAGACAACCTCTGCTACGCTGAAGTGCATTTTTCCCACATTCCTGTCACCAGCAGCGCCCCCTGTGGTGAAGCAACTGATGTTGTCTACTCAATGCCTCAGGTGGACCTGAGTACTGCCATCCACACCAAAGGTGCTTCACCTCCTCTGTACGCTACTGTTGCCTCACTATGAATTACATCAGTAGTGTTTTTTTAAACCTGTCCTGCCCAGCAGAATAATGGTCTGAATGCTTTGTTGTGCCAAACATATTTGCTTTCCCAAGAGGAGCACCATAGACTCTTTTTAGGTTTTTGTTATATTTATTTGTTTTATTTTATTATTCATATTTTTCTCTGTATAGATATTAAGCTGGAATGGACAGGGGGTGAGGGGTGTATTGGCAAAAGACAGGAGAAGAAATCAGAGGACTAGAAGAAGAAAAAGGAAAGAAAAACGAGAGAAAACAATGAGGGTGGGGGGGAAATTGAGTTTGAAGTATGCAGTTATATAGCCTGAGGTTAAAGTTGTTTTTATTAGAGCTGCTTATAATTTAGCTCAACAGATATATAATATAAAGATGTTGCTTTTATGATTCTGGATGAATTTAGTGAAACGATTGCAGAAAACAGACTGCTTGGAAACAAGATATCTTTCAAGGAAGACGAAAAGTGAAGAGATGCAGTAATCTACATGTTTTTAATGAAAATAAACATGAACATTGGCACTTTTGACAGTGTATGGTTTTTATTTTCTTTTTATAAAATAATTTATAAATATTCGAATACGCAGATTTCCTTCACTTCTGCAGTGAAAATGTTTAGACTCAGCTTCTTCATAAAAACAATATTGTAAAAGAAAGCAACAGGACTTCTTAAACTTTTTGAGGATGTTTCATCTTCAGTTCTAAAAACCCAGAGGTGGAGAATCCCAGGTGTTTGAATCCTAGTGGTCATTGGCCCACTATTGATCATGTGCCTCATCAAATGAGCCAAGGTGTGACAAACAATTTTGGGTGAAGCCATATTTATTGCCCCACACCATCATGTGATCTACTGAGGTCACCTGATGCAAGGTGTGAGTTAGGATTGAAGGACCTGGGAAGGGATCTCAAAACTGGTTTGTTTGTCGATGGCTGATAGGTGAGCTCATAAATCACCTCCTCTGTTCAATGATGGTCATTTACAGTGGACATAGACGGCCACTTCAGAAACACCAGTCTTCTTGGTCCTAAACGGGAACATTGGCACTCTTTAAAATATGTCTTTCGTCTTTAAAGAATAAGGTGCAGATGTATATCTGAGTCTTGTCGAAGTGGCTCTTCTATGTTTGTCATGCTTTTATGAGGTGGATGCTCCATGGACTCACTGCACACCATACACAATGTTGCTAAGGTGTTGTATTTATTGCCTGTTTTTTTTTCTTGCTTTCCAAGTTTGTAATTTGTTCCTGTTATTTATCGATTAGCTTGTGTTTGAGATTTTTTCCCTTGGGGTGAGCTAGTGTTTGTCTTAGGGTCTGTCCTGGTCTGAAGTGCACTGGCATGAGCACTGAGTTTAGCTGAAAACCTGCTACATAAGGGAGCTCTTGGCGGTGGTGGATGCATCTCTCACCCTCTCCTTCCTTTATCCTTCCTGCTTGGCTTGTATGTCCTTGTCTAGTCTCGTCTAACTCTAACCCTCAGGGAGACTCTCAATCTTGCTCTCTAAAACCTGATTTGATCAACTGGTCCCTTACCAAAATTGACACCCTACCCTCGACCAGAAGCCTAGGCTCGGGAGAGCCTGATTGTCCTGCAGAGACGTTTGCTGCTGGATACTCAATGGTCGGTTGCGTCGGGTGCCTGGCGACACTCTCGATGGAGGACACTGAATGACATCTGCCTTTTTCGGAACCATGATAACAGAGTTCTGGCTGATCGGAGCTGGCTCGGACCAGGCTTATTGAAGAACAAAGAAAGCGGTTACAGCTGTTCAAAACCCCACAAGGCTGGCTGATTGACAAAGGGCAAGCCATGAGTACTGAGACTGTGTTTATTGAATGCAATATGGCTTTGCAACGGGAAATTAATAGACCTGGTGACCAGTGGTCGACATTAAGAACAACTGCAACTTCTTTAATGCTACCTGCTCCGACCTGTCTCCCCAATGTGATGTTTGTGTAATGTATGAATGGTTGGAAGGGGTCCAAATAAAGGATTCATCATCAAAATACTGTTATTCCAACAACATGTTGTTAATCATTTTTACTTCTTATGTATTCAATCATTAAATGTACAAAGTAGCAACAAAAAATATTTATGTATATCTAAATTACGTGATGTTCTGACTACAACGCTGCTAAGCAGCTGCATGGCTCATCAAATAAATTAAGTTAATATAGGACTTAAATTGGAAACAGTATGTGTCAATGCAAGATTTAAATAAAAGTGACAGTTGGAAGCAGAAAAAAA